GGCGCGGCGCTTCTCTGCCTTCCCCGCCTGCCTGCGAAGAGAATCCTTCCTCTCAGCTTCGTCGGAACGGGCGCCCTGGGAGCCGATGGCTACGCGCGTCTGCGCGCGTGATCTGCCGCGTGGCCTGCTCGTTCAAAATCCTTCGATCCTTCGTGCGAACGCTGGCAGAAACTGGATCCGAGCAGCGCCGGTCTCCCCGCACTTGTGCGACTCATTGCGCGCGTCGCAGATGTCGCAACGGAAGCCGTCAGGGAGATCGCGGCAGCTGCACTGGCAATGACGCTTCTCGGTCTGCACGTCAACAGCGCCATGTTCAATGAGCTGCTGGACGCGACTGCGGACGCCACCTCCGGCGCCCAAAGACCGACCGAGATCGCGCAGAGCATGATCCGCGATCAAGTGAACTCGATCGGTGGCCAGATCGGCGGCCAGGGATTCCAATCCTTTGTCGGTCATCGGATCGGAGAGCTCACCTGCCGAGATCTGTTCACGAGTGTGGTGTGCTGAGGTCGTGCCCTGATGCTCTGTCAGGAGCTGCTCCGCTGTGGCACGGAGCTCCGCGCCCCTCGCATCCTCCGCGATGCCCTGCTGATTGCCATCGGAGTCGGTCCGCAGAGCCGTGAGAATTTCTTGCTGGGTCGTGGCAACAACGGATTCTGTGCTACCGAGAGCGGCAGCATGACCGGGGGCGCCGGGGGGGGGTCGGGTTGGCGTCAGCCTTGATGTCGATATTATCCTTCATGGGGGTTGCCAAATATTCGCCGCACTTCGGTTTGGTCAGCGCGTCTTTCGCTCGTAGGTCTAGCAGAGGCTCGAGGGCGGGATGGTACTTAAGAATATCCGGCGCCGATGATTCTACAAGACGCTTAGTGGCGTCGTCCTGGATGATGGCGAAGACGTGTGGGAATCCAATGGACAAGAACGAACTCATCGTCGTCTTCCCAGTCCATGTTCCTCATCATCGTCAGGATGAACCAATTGTGTCCGCATGCGTCGGGAAGGCTGATGGCCCCGTACTGTACGGAGTAAACGCCATGTGGTACCATGGGGAGTCAACGTTGAAGCGGAAACCGATGTAGAAGTGGCTGAGGTAATGGTGATTGTCATCCTCGTGCTTCACAGTACCCACATTTTTCACCTCGCAGAACGGCGTCACCAACAGTGGTCCAGTGCTGATGGTCGCTGAACCAGAATCTCGAATGTCCTGAAGAGAATATGTTGAGAGGGTCCCAAAAGCTGCCTGCAGGTCCTCGACGATCGGGATCAGGGTCAGACTCTCTTTTTTTTTCATAGTTTCTGACAGCTCGTCTGTCATCGTGCTCGACGGTGTCGGGGTTGTCGTGAGTTGCGGGTGTTTCCACCGACGTCTCGACGACGATGTCATCATCGGATAGGCCGAGATATTGATCTATGTCCCAAGCACGGAAGTGATCGAGCAAGTCCGACGGAAGATCGGCACGAAGAGGAACGGCGAAGCTGAATCCGCATTGCTCGTTGCCGTGATCACGGTACCAAATGTTTGCCCACAGTGGACCGTGGCCACGGCTTGGGATCATCACGCTGACGTATGGCAATGTGTGCTCGATGTCGATGATTGGACAAAAAAATTGTCCCTTTTCCACGATGAGGGTCTTCTGCTTTGTGGCAGAACATGGTAAGGCGACAGCTCGGCATCGAAACGTGCCGTGCCGACGCGTGTAGAAGAAATCACCAAAACGAATGTCGTTGTCACGTGACGTACGGTCCCAGGCACCCTGAGGGAAGTTCTTAACGAGCGGTTCAAAGTAGTGCTTTCAATCCTGCACGATATTCCACCAGTCGATGTTTTACTGCATTTCCTGGATGTTCTGTCGTGCTGGACTCGGTGGGTTTGCATCCTGTGAGGATGCACGTGTCTCCACCAGCGGCGGGTGCAGCCATGTACGTGTCGAGGCGGAGTACGTCTTGCATGTCATCCGCAATGTCGGCTGGTGCATCGGTCTGCACATGCTGCTCGGGAACATGCGTCTTCGGGCTGTTTTGGCGTTTTCTAGTGGCGTTTTGTGGGCCCGTGGGCCCCCCCAAACGCCTGCAAACCCGCATTTGTGGTAGAGGTCGCGGCCCCGTGGAGCCGGGCCCCGGTGACCGTTATCTTAGTGTGGGTACATATATATATATATATATATATATATATATGTAGATGTGTATATATACAAGTGGCACGCGTGTGCCCAGGCTCATACAAAAAACTGAAAGGGCGTTTGAAGCAGGAAGACACCATGACGGCGGGATCGGAGATGGAGAAGGGGAAGCTGGGGCCCCCCAGGAAGCCTCAGGAGGCCCGACTTGGATACCGGAAGAGGCTCCAGGAGGCCCCAGGATTGTGAGTGCTGTTTGGGTCTGTGTGTGTGATGTGTGCTCTGTGTATGGGTGGGAAACAAATTCACCCTCCTCCTCTTCACCCTCCTCATCCTCATCCTCCTCATCCTCCTCCTCAGCTGCTCCGCATCCTCCTCCTCCTCCGCCTCCTCGTCCCCCTCCTCCTCCTCCTCCTCCCCCTCCACCTTCTCCCTTTCCTCCTCTTGCTCCTTCCCCTCCTCCCCCGATGCATCGATCTCATTGCAAACCTTCCCACGAACGAGCTCGAAATTCCTTTCGCGTGGAGGGTGGCCCAGGAAGCACTGCCCGATTAAAGAAATAGCTGGCCACCATTATTCAGCACGGCGCGCATTAGCGGGCAACGAATGCATCCTCCTCCTCCTCCTCCTCCTCCCAGACCCCCCTCTCTTCCGCCTCCTCCTTTTCCCCCTCTTCCTCCTTAGTTGCCCCTCCTCCTCCTCCTCATCCTCCTCTACCGCCTCCTCCTCCTCCTCATCCTTCTCCTCCCCCTCCTCCTCCTCCTCCTCCTCCTCCTCCTCCTCCTAGTCCTACTGCTCCACCTTTTCCTTCTCATCCTCTTCCTCCCTCCCCTCCTCCCCAGAGGCATCGATTATTATTGCAAACCTTACTACGGACAAGCTTGACATGCCTTTTCGCGTGGAAGGTAGCCCCGAAGGCATTGTCCGATGAGAGAAATAGCCGTCCACTACTATTCAGAAAAGCGCGCATCAGTGGGAAACTAATTCCTGCTCCTCCCCCTCCTCCTCCTGCCCACTGCTCCTCTTCCTCCTCCACCTCCTCCTCCTCCCTCCTCCTCCTCCTCCTTCCTCCTCCTCCTCTTCCTCCTCCTCTTCTCCTCCTCCTCCTCCTCCCGTTTCTCCTCCTCCTCCTCCTCCGCCTCGTCCTTTCCCTCTTCATCCTCCTCCTCCTCCTCCTCCTCCGCCTCCTCCCACCCTCCTCCTCCTCCTCCCTCCTCCTCCTCCTCCTCCTCCTCCTCCTCCTCCTCCTCCTCCTCCTCCTCCTCCTCCTCTCAGCTTGGGTAACGGGGGTCTCATCAAGTGATGCCTCGCCAGTGCTTGCAAGACAGCTTTTTGACCCTAGCAAGAGGAGGAGCAAGAGGAGGAGAGGAGGAGGGAGGAAGGAGGGAGGGCCAATTTATTCACCGCCGAAGACTAAAGACTTCTAGAGGTTACCGATACCGCTACGTCCTGGACCTCTCCCAGGGTGCTCAAGGGCTGGATCTAAGCGTTGTGTGTTCGTTTTGTTGTTGCGCTGTTTGTCGTTTTGCTCTGCCTGTTTTCTTGCACCTCCCTGCCAAGACAAAAAACAAAAAAAACAGCCGTGTCCAGAAGCACAGCGTCGAGGTCCAGCCCTGGGGTGCTTTTTGACCTTGGAAGAGAAGCATGCAGGATCGACAAGAGAGTCGGCGGCGCGCCCCCCGGGGGAAGTGTTAGGTCGGGCGTGTCCTCCTACAGGCGGATTTTGGACGACAAATAGCAATGTTCAAACACTGTCCATATTCAAAAAGAAGCACAACAAAAAACTAGAAAAAATAGAAAACATCCCCAGGCAGTGTTTTGACGATTTGTTGAACATTCTTCCTGTAGAGGTGCGTGCCCGACTTGAGGCGAGTGTGAAGGGGCGGGCCTTCTCAGAAGTCTCGCAAGGCCTCGGGCATTCTGAGAAGTTGTCTACGTCAGGCTCGTGTCGTGTCGACTTCGGCGTTGGCTTCTGGCACCGCGGGGATCGTTCAACCTTGAATGATCGGCTGTTTCCGAAACGTCCAAATCGTTTCACATCGCACGATTCTGGGTCGCCGGCGGCGTTCAACATTGAACGCCGCTGGCGGGGTCGCCGCCGGTCGACACGACACGAACCTACCGCACCCCGGCGAGAAGGCTTCTGAGAAGCCCCGCTGGCCTCTGAGAAGGCCTGCTCCTTATTTCCCCCCAGGCACGCCGCCGCGAGACCTCCCCAGGACGAGCAGCAGTGCCACTACCTTTCCCTCTACTGAGCCACCCCCCTATCGGCGCCCCTGAGCGGGGGCGACGACGACGGTCCCCAAACACCTCCTGGGGCCCGTCCTGGGTAGCTTCGTCTTCCCGGATCGATGTCTGACGCCCCCTGGGGGTCCGAAGCGGAGCCCCCGGAGTAGGGGAACAAACAATGACATACACACAAACATCTGGAGGTCCGCGCGGAGTTCTTGGATCGGCAATGGGGCCCCCCTCGCGGCGCCTCCGGCACCGCCCATGGCGCGCTCGGCGCTGCAAGGAGGGCGGCCCAGCGCAGATCCAATTCGCGTCGACCCCACGTCGAATCGGCGTCGAACCCTCGCCGGATACAGGAGCACAACACCATTTGCAGGACAGACACTGCCCCACGAGGCTGCAGAACAATCCTCAAGCCTCGACCGACCGATCATCGATCGATCCTGGATCGTTCGATCGAACGCTCTTCGATGCATCGTGGGGGTTGGTCGGCCTCCAATCTCCGAGATCGGCCGATCAACCTCCAGATCCTCGATCTTCAAAGTCGATCGATATCTGATCTTCGAGGTCGCCCGATCTTCGATCGATCAACGGCCGATCGACGACCTGCGGCGAAAGCGACCACGGGGCGCGGGTGGCCGCGCCAGCGGCCTGCGACTGCCGCCAGGAGGTGACGGAGCTGGCGGATGCCCTCGCCGGGCGCGCGGCGGGCGGGCGGGCGCGAGGGCCTGGATCGATGGCCGAGGCGAGGGCAAGGAGAGGTCCACCAGCATCAGGTCGGGCACGTCTCCCTACAGGCGGATTTTGGGCGCCAAATGCAGAATACCCAGAACAGACTCGAGAATAGTCAAACTGTAATGGAAAAATCGTCGCCAGATAATTTTTCAACTATTTTTGAAACATCGTCCCCAGACTATGCTTCAACTATTTCTGAAAATGCCTCCTGCAGAGGGACATGCTCGACTTCAGGCGAGGGCAAGGAGAGCTCCACCAGCATCGAAGCGTGAAATCGAGTCGGATCGGCACAGGCACATCGCACTGGGCCGAAGCGGCACGGAGGTCGGAGCTGCATCGGATCGGCTGCGCCACGCTGCACGATGCGGCGCCACTCGCACGTCGGGCCGCCTCGGATCGTCCGAATGGTTATCCGAACTGGATCGGAGCGGGCTGGCAGGGATCGGCACCGAGCCAGACCGGATCGGATCGGAGTGGACCCATGGAGGGCGAGGATCGATGATGTCGGTGCGGGGGCCTGGGCGGACGCGAGGACCCAGGGCGACGTCCAGGGAGGCGGGCGTGATGTGCTTGCATTTGCGGACGTCTATCTATCTATATATATACACATGCAATTGTAGATCTATATAAGTGTGAGAAATACGCCATGAATAAAAGCATATCAATCACAAGTACACGCATTACATAATAATTCGAGTGCTCATAACAAACAAGAGATAACAAAAATGATACTACTAATGTTATGGATAATGCTGAAACTGAGGCACTGATTGTAACTCATATTTCTCTCTCTCTCTCTCTCTCTCTCTATATATATATATCTAGACAAATATCCACCACCGTGCCGCTGGGTACGGTGTGAGCGTGTCCTCAGTCCCTTTGCCTAACCCTCTAAGCCTCAGTCCTCGCTTCTGAACAGTCTCTGAGGGGCCCAGACCCCACAATGCAAAATTTGGCGGGGCTTGTTGCGTGCCCCCTGGGCTCACGGGCATCTTGTCGTATGACTTTTTGGCCCCGGGATGCTCCCAAGACGGTCCACGAGGGCCCCGAGACGCCCAAAGATCGCACCAAGACACCCAAGATGGCCCCAACACGTCCAAGGAGGCCTCCGAGGCGCAACGTGTCGCTGGGCACGGAGTGAACGTGTCCTCAGGTCCTTTGCCTAATGCTCTAAGCCTCAGTCCTCACTCCTAAGGAGTCTCTGAGGGGCCCGGGCCCTACAATGCTAAATTTGGATGGGCTTCTCGCGTGTCCCCTGGGCTCCTGGGCATCTTGTCGTATGACTTGTTCGGCCCCAAGATGCCCTCAAGTCGGTCACAGATCGCACCAAGACGCCCAAGATGGTCCAAAGAGGCCTCCGAGACGCAATGACAGCTCAACACAAGCCGAAAATCCCAAGAGGTCCCCAGGAAGGCCCAAGAAGGCCCCAAGAGGTCTCCAAGGGGCTCCAAGTGGCCCCCAAGAGGCCCCGAAGACGACCCAAGAGACCCCAAAACAGCCCCCAAGAGGCCTCACAACTGCCTCCGAGAAGCTCCCGAAAGGCCACGACGATATCCCAACAACCATCCAAGGAGCCTCCGGCCCCGACCTAGACACGGTGGTGGGAGGATGGGCCGACGGCCATGAGGTATATGTATACATGCACGCTTGTGCACATACGTACAGTTATACATATATACGTGTACATATACATATGCAGATACACACGCATATTCGTTCCATTTGTATATATAAACATGCACAGCTTGTATACACAGATTTCGAACACAATTGCGACTACACATCGATGGATCCCGCCAGCAGTGCTTGCACGTACGCAGGGGCCCTTACATTTCCCTGTGAAGGAGCAGAGACCTCGGCCTGTCTGCGGGCCCGGCGGCCCCGTTCTCGTCCGTTGCCGCCCCACCTCTCCCAACAAAGGCCATTCTGCGGGCCTGGCGGCCCCGTTCCAGTCCGTCGCCGCCGCCCCGCTGCAATCCCCCGCGTCGCACTGACGTCGCATCCCTGCACTGCAATCGCATTGCGCCGCATTGCGGTCCCACTGCTTTGAATTGCTGTGCACTGCTCTTGAACTCCCATGTCGCTGCAATCGCACTCGCACTGCATTGCGTTGCAATCGCATCGCTTTGCATTGCTTTGCCTTGCATTGCTTCGCGTTGCTTTCATTGTTGTGCATGACTGTCCATTGCTGTACGTTGCTGTGCATTGGTTTGCATCGCATTGCATTGCGCTCAATGGCTTCGCATTGCTTGGCATTGCGTTGCATTGCTTTGCATGGTATTGTTTTGCTTTGCAATGCTTTGCGTTGCGTTGCATTGTTTTGCGTTGCATTACATGTCGTTGCGTTGCTTTGCGTTGCGGTGCATTGCGTTGTATTGTGCTGCATGGCTTTACATTTGCGTTGCAGTGCTCATTACTTTGCATTGCGCTTCATTGCCGTGCATTGCTTCGCATTTCTTGGCATCGCTTCGTCTTGCCTTGCATAGCTGTGCACCACATAGAGCGCAACATACGAATTGCACCACCAAGATTGAACTACATTGACTGCAAGGAGTCGCTATTTGGGGTCCACACTGGCTAGCATGTGCATTGATGCCCCTGGCGACAATTTTTCTAGAATCGACCCTCCCCCCGGAAGGGAACGGTCAGTCGGAAGTTTCGGGGCTTGGGCGGACTTGGAAGTCCGAAATTCAAGGGCGAGGATCGAGGAGGGAACAGGAGGTGGCGCAGGGCATTCGCAAGTTTTGCTTCCCCCTTCCCCCCCCCCTCCTCGACCTCCCGTCCTCCTCCTACACATCCCCCCCTCACGCCACGGACGTGACCTCCCGAGAGCAACCCGTGTTTCACACATGAAAAGTGCATGCATCGCGACAGACAGGACACGAGAACAACCTTAATTTTACAGGGTCGACCTGATAGTCGGATCCGGACGTGGGACCTGGGCGGAATCGAAGGTCAATGTTCGAAACTCGAGGCAAAGACCGGAGTGGGAACCTGATGCGACATTTGCCTCGGACTGCTGTCCGTGCTCGATGGATTGATGGCCGCCGGTTTTTCGCAGCGGAGTGATCACTTCGTCCCTTGCTGACAAAGGACCAAGACGACACAAAGTTCCTCAAGGAGAGAAAGGCAACTTGCAGAAGCATTGACACAACGCGTGGGCGCGTCTTCTTCCAGGGGCAGTGCCCCGCCACCCCACCAGACACCGGCTCACGCTCCCCCTGCGTTGCGCTGAAAGCGATGGAGGGGGGCCGAGCAAGAAAGATATACGCCATCCCTGGAATACGCAAACAACCCAGGAATACGCAAAGGCGCGTTCCAGAGTGTGCCCCGCCCCCAACTGGCGTGCTCCAAAAAAGGGGAAGTCGGGGATGGCGACACAGCGACGACAGGCTCGGCGACGCAAATGAGTCCCTGAAATGGCCCCCAGGCTTATATACGGGGGGGGGATCACTTGGTACATACTTTGGGCAGTATCCAGGAAACCTCTGGGGATCCTCTACGGGCCTTCCTGGGCGCTGCCAAAGGTCTTCGTGGGGGCTTCGAGAAAGTCTCAAGCGGGCCCTTAGCTCTATGACTGGTCTTAGAGGTCTCTGCGGGCTCTCCGGGGCCCCCCAGATAGCTCTCAGTCACTTGCACTTCCCCCAAAAAATGCCAGGGGCCCACCAGCGACACGAATGGCGATATCAATAGCGACACTACTGGTCACACTAATCGACACTTGCGGCCACACGAATGGCGACGCGAACGGCGACACGAATGGCGGCAATAACGGCGACACGAGTGGCGACACGAACGGTGACACTAAAGCACGGTGGCGACAACACAAATGGAGACATGACAGGCTACACGATTTCAGCAGAGGCCTAGCCGCGGCCACAATCATTAATCGGAAGAAGCATAAATCCCTTGCCATGCACAATCGAATTCGTATTGTTGGGTTTGTGTCGATGCTCGCGTGTTCGGTTCGAACCTGCGATTTCCCCCGCCCTGGATGGCGACACTATTGGCGACGCCACTGCACTAACGGCGACCCGACTGGCGACACGAATAAACAATAACGTCGACACGAATGGCGACACTAACGGCGAAACGAACGGCGACATGAATGGCGACACGAACTGCGACACGAACGGCGACATGAATGACGACGCGAAGGGCGACACGAATGGCCACGAAAACGGTGACGTTAACTTCGCCACCAATTGCGATTGTGGTGGCCACTTACCGCGCGTCCTCGATACTCTCCTGCTCATCCTCCTCCTCTTGCAACCTGTGTGCCTATTGTGACTGTCGTGGCAGGTCGAGCCAGGCCCCTATCCTCAATCAACTCTTGCTTCTCAACAGCTGTTTTGGGTCACTTCGAAGCGGCGTCCTTGTAGCTCACTGCCATATGTGACCCAGCGGTGGCGAAAATCGCCAGGATAAGAGTGAGGAAAGGGAAAGGAAGAGAGAACAACCCATGGTCTCGATTGCGCGGGGCAAAGGAGGACACACAGGGAACATGATGGACAGAGGGGAAGCTGGAATGGCGCAAGGGATGCAGAGCTTGCAGAGGAGCTCAGAGTCAGCGCAGGTCACCCCCAACCGAACTAGGTGACGAGAAGCCGGCGGACGCTGACACGCAAGCCAGACGGACCACAGGAGACACGAACATCTGCACAACCCCTCGCCATCGCTCGGACGTCCATTCTCCGTGCATGCTTCGACTCCGTGCGTGTTTGTTGCTGGGTGATCCAAGATGCTCCTCGATAGTCCTCGCCTATGAGGGGCAACGACAGGGAGGGATAGGCATAGGGGGGTCAACATCGACCCGGAATCGGCGATACATCGCCGATAGATCGGCGATGGGCCCCCGATAGTGAAGCCGCACGTTCCTGGGCAGGTTGGGGCTATGGGGGGCCCCTCTCGGCGGTGAGTGGGCGATTGGGGGTGGATGCATCCCCACCTATGCCTATCACCCCCGATCGTTGCCCGTGAGCCTAACAAATGCCCGACCGATGCCCGGTCTGTCGAAGTCGGCTCTGGCCCAGCATTTGGTCGGGCATACATGCGAATGTTGGACGGATTTGTTTTTTCATACGAGAAACTACAAATGTTACAAAAAATGATCAAGCATAATCAACACATTGTCCCCAGAGTATTGTTTTACTATTTGCTGAATCTTCCTCCTGTCGAGCAACAGGCCCGACCTAAGACTAGAGAGTGATGTACAGCAGCGCTGATACACCTGTGGCGTTACTCTGGTCCTCCTCCTGCTCATCCTCCTCCTCCTCCTCCCTCTCATCCTCAATCACGGTCCTCCCTCCCCCTCCCTCCTCCTCCTCCTCCTCCTCCTACTATCCTCCTCGATCAGCGCCCCCCTCCCCCTCCTCCCCTGGGTCGACACCCTGGGGCAGTCGAGCCCCCAGCGCCGCGGGCCGTGGCAGCGGCGCGGGGCCACAGCGCGCGCCTCGGGCTCCGCGCCGTGGGGGTGGCCGACGCGGAGGCGCACCGCGACGGAGGCACGGAGGCGTGCCTCGAGACCTGGCCCGCGGGAGGCCGCGCGCGGCCG